CATGGAAAGTAACCAAGCAATTTCATGTGTCTACTTTAAGCCTTCCTCCTTGCTTTTTTATAGAGCTAAAATTGTAGTTGTTACGGGTTTTCATACTAAGTTTCTCATTTACACTAGTTATGGTTTCAACAAGGGGCTTATGATTATAGTATGTCTTCACTAAAATGAGAATGACTTGAAGTTTAGATGTTAGCAAAGATGATATTTTAGAATATATAATGTACTTAATTGTTAGGTTATTACTGCTAACATAACACTGAATACTATATTTAGGTACTTTAAGTCTGTGAACACTTTATTATTAAGCCAGCTGTCACTTTCTAGTCTTAGAACACATTTTTATTCAGGTCAGTTTTAAGGCGAAAGAATGGAACTTGTTAACATTTTAGTTTGGGAAGTGATTTTAAAAAAAAGTTTCTTAAATTGACCTTTTAAAAAATTCAGTTAATTCAGCAAGGTCAAAGCTACAGAATCTTTTTTGCAGCTTGCTAAGACCATACTCGAAACTGACTAGAAGTTTTATGACTTTTGTTTCCAGCCTCCATCGGATGGTGCTACATTTCTTTAGAATATGAAGGGATGTGTAAAGGAGCATATTTTAAAGATACTTGCATTTACTGAATTTAATACTTATGTTAGAAGTCTAATTTTTTTACTCCAAGTAGTTCTACAGATCAGTAGTTTAAAGAATGCATCCAAAATTCAATGTTGTTTAACTTCTTAACTATGAACATCTATTTCTAGTGTTTGTGGTTAAAGATTAGCAAAATTGCATTCACTGTTTAATAGTTTCTGTCCTTGTATTTGCTTTATGCGTAAATGACAATATATAAGCTTTGACATGTGACTGCGCTGAGTTTCTGCAAATGCTTGAACAGGATAATCTTTGCATAAATTGCATGGATATATTTGGAAGTCCTAAATAGATTGTGCCAAGAAAAATGATTTGTCCAACAATTGAGTGCTGAAACTTACTCTTCAGGGAAAGCTGCCTTCCTCCCATTCATTCCACATTTAGACGTATGGGGGCAGGACCTCTGAAGTGCACACTCTGTAGATGTATTTTGAATGACATTGTCAAAGTCCTTCTAGCACTAACTGTATTCTATGGGTAGGATACTTCATGCTTCTCCTATATTGTGTAAATTTGTAAAAAGTCAGAAATAATTATCACTTTCCTGTAAACTTTCTTACATAGTCTTAACTATTAAATTGAGGTGCCAATTTGTCACTTAGCCATATACCTCTGAATCTGTAGGCAGTTATACTAAAACCACATTTTCAATTCTGCTGTGTATGAAAGCAGATGTGATTCTGGTATTGGAAACGTAGGTCAAGCAGGATTCAAAATTTTATACAGTTAAAAAGAAATAAAAAGCTAGTGTGAGAATTCATAGTGCTTGGGAGAAGTTAACTATCAGCTCTGGGAGAAAAAACTAGCATTATGTTGTGACATTCTGCTGAGAGATGGACCTTCTGACACAGCAAGAGTTCACTTGCTTCTTAGCACAGAACTGATGAGTCACAGAGGTGAGGGAAATGCAAAATATTTTACAGGAGTTCAGCCTTGACAAAAGCAGCTTTTGGAGTCAGGATGATACAAAACTTGTATTAACATATGCGCTTATGTATCAGTGCCTTTGTACTACTGATTATCTTGAGTTTCATTATTTTAACACAGTTGATAAGCAGTTATCTTCTAAAAAAAACCTGGAACTACATTTAAAACAACATGGAAATAGTTCTAATTCTTGGGACTATTTCCGTGTTGGTTTAGAAGTAGTTCCAGGTTTTTTTTAGAAGATAACTGCTTATCAACCGTGTTGAAATAATGAAACTCTAGATAGTCCCAAGAATTAGGACTATTTCCATGTGCATGGAAAACTATCTAAACCAATCATGTTCAGTGGTAGTACTACTCGTGCTTGTCCCAAACATGAAGGAAAATCACAGCGGAAGCTTTCCGCTTGAGTAGAGCGTGCTGTAGTAGAACTGTCCCCTTTCAAAGCGTTGTGGATTTTTTTTTTTGTACAGCAGAAGTTTCTAGAAAATCTTTGCTGATATCATGTACATTATTGAAATACTTTCAAGTTCTGCTTTGAAATGAAAGCTTCACATTTGCATAGATGGTAACTATGCTTTTTAAAGATATGATGTACATATTTGGGGAGCACAAAGCGGTGTTTCTAGCATTATAGAGCCTAGTTGCACAAAGGTTTAAAATGAACCTTGTACCCAAAGAATTACTTACTCCTTTTGAGATTAGCTAAATTTCAGATAATGTTGCTTTATAGTATGTACTTCACTAGTGTGAATTGGAATAGATGTTAAAAGTTTGAAGCACTGATTACCTAGATATTACCCAAACTCACAAGTGGATAGTGTGATGTGGGTAGTAAGATAGCAGAATACAATTCCCATATTTAAATCCTGCTTTACTTTAGTGTATTCACAACCTTTTTATATTGTATGGTGCATGCCTATTGCATGTTTCCACTGCCAGAAATGAAGTAGTACAATTCAAAGAAACCTCTTTTTTTTTAGCTTTATAGACATGAACTTTCTAAGGTATAAAGAGGATGGGCAAAGTTTGTCTTCTGCTTCCAGCAGCGCAAGACCTTTCACTTTGGATACACAAAACTTGCAAAACAGAATGATGCAAGGGTGAAGTTATAATCATTGCACCATGTCAGCCAGTGCAGCAGTTTACAAATGAATCACAAACGCATGTTACATGTTTCACTTTTCCATTTCTCTGTAAGATCCATGACCAAGTGGGCCAGTATTAGGAATTAACCATGATGGAGCCCTTTCTTACAGGCTTCTGCTCTCCAGAGCAAAATTAAGTCTGCAGTGATGACTGTTTGCTAGATAGTCATGTGTTATCTCAACATATATGTATATAGCAATGATCAAAAAATAAATAAGACAATCTTATTTAGTGAGCCTGTAACAAAGATGAAGTGTGACACATACAGTTCAGTCCAGTTTTTACCAATACTAGTTCTCTTCCCCTATCAGCTACAGAGGTAGCAAAGCATGTTTTCTGTTTACTCAGCATTGGTTTTTGCAAGAACACTTACTCCCTACCAAGTACTGACTTCAGCTGAATTTAAGACTTCATTAAAAATCCTGATAAGATACCTTCTGAATGCTAGGGGACAGTAGGGAACCGATCCAGCTTTGTCACTGCTTACACCTTCTATAGAGAGCAAGTTTGCTATAGTAAGCAGGTTCTTTTCATTGTGCTATTGAGAAACAAACCTGCAAGGGCATGGAAGCAGATTAGTCACTTCAGTTTCATTCTGCTGCTTCTCAGGACAGCTAGTGAACTGAATGAAAGCCAGCCAGTCCCAAAATAAGGCTGCTGTGAACTAAAATAGTACTGGCGACCTGCTGGCATTCAAACCGGATTGAAGATCACCTCGCAAAGTGTCAGCGGCATTTGGTCTGGGACATGGCAGGTGACAACAGAAACCTACTTTTTTGATTTATCATTAAAGTTATCTAAAGGCTTCAAAAAAAAAAAGATCCTATCAAATGAACATAGCAGATTGCTTGTGCAACAGGAAGCCATTACTCTTTATAGTTGTTTGAGGGAGAGGGAGCTGAAAAAAAGGCTTCTCCCTCTTCATCCCAATGTTGTATCAAGTTGACTAAACTTTCTAAGAAAGATGAAAGTAAAATCTTAGCTTCATCATGGCTTGTTTTGCAAAGCTGTTGATGAGTCACAGTTTCTGACTCAGAAAACCTCTATTTCAAAGCTTGTTTTTTCACTCCCCAAACATGAAGAATACCTGCTTGCTGAGGGACGTAGCTTGAAATCAATCTATTTTCTGCTGAACTGTCATGGAAAGTCACAGTGAGTGTGGGTCAGATACCTTCTGTCCCATTATATATATGCTAAGTGGATGGCTGAATCTTTATTGAATTTTAATGGTCATGGGATGTGTGTGGTGTATTTCATCCTACTCTGTTGAGTTACTGCAGTGCAACCAGAGAGTAGACAACAGTAAAATTAAGGCATGATTACAGGATTCCTTTAAGTGCAATACAGTCCAGCCCAGAAGCCTTGCAAGTAGAAGGGATTAAGATTTTACGCAAACTATTTTCAGTCTCTGATGGTATCCCAGAAAGACCAAAGAAGTTAGAAGTCATCTTTTTTTCTGTCTTTGTAACTTGGGTGTGTTAGAAAATGTGTGAGAAAATGTCTTAGTTGAGCATAAAATCAGTGAAAACATTTATGATTTATTACAGTAACTTTTAATATCTTCAGTGAAAATATTTGTAAGGTATTATGGTAATTCTTATTAATCTTCATGTGCAAAAAAATTGTTCTCTATGAGGCTGATAATCTATTAGTAAGCTTTGTGACATTTTCTTTTCGTAGTTTAGCTTTAATTTTCCAACCTTTAACCATTTAGTGCTGACCGTTTGTAACTCAAGTCTTTGTATGCAAAGGGTCTCAGATTAATCACCCAGAAGCCAGAAGTGCAGTCTCAGCAGGGGGCTGAGGGCCCATGCAAGGTACTTAGCCAAGCACCAAGAAAATGCTTTCTTTGATATGAGGTGACTGTCCTTCTTGTCTTGTAGTTCCCCACCTTACTCACTGTTTAACTTCTGCATGAAATGAAATTGAGCTCTTACAGACATGAGTCTCCTTCATTAAACAGCCTAATGCTTAACTCTGCTGTGGATCACTAGAACTGATTCAAGCAGTTCTTCTGAAGGAAACAGGCAATCACAGGCTATGAAAGTGCATACACAGAAGAGTTCTTTACAGTGCATCTCTAGTTTTATATTTAGATGCTATTAAATTTACTGTTAAAAATCAGGTCTTACTGTTAATAAATTCAGGTATCTTAAGCTTTTGTATCACTGTCCCTTTCCAGAGTGTCTGAGCGTACAGCCTTTAGAAGGCACCTTTGTCTTCCTATCAAGTTTCCTGTTAAAAAGTACAGAATTTGTATTCCACTACTAAGGATTTTGTTCTCTTTTAGGATCGAAATAGAATGTATGACAGTCTGAATATGCACTCTTTGGAAAACTCCCTTATTGACATTATGAGAGCAGAGCATGATCCACTTAAAGGTATGTTATTATGCTAAATAAAGAAAAAAGGGTCATCCATTCTGCATATTTGAATTAATACTGATTGCTAATTTAGATTCTAGGGTCATATTAAAATAGCAAATGAATTATTTTCTCAACTGACATGAAAGGTCAATCTCAAGCTGTATTTTATTGAAAACATTGGTTTACAGTCGTTTAAAATCAACTTAAGCTTTAGTGGTTTCATAGGTTTTTCTCTCTCTCCCTTCCATCCTTCCCTCCTTTCCCCCAAGAAATTCATAGTTAGTTTTATTTGAAATTTACTTGTCTGCTGTAGGAAATTCTACCTCAGTTTGTAAAGACACGCTGTTCTGTTAGAGGTAGCCAAAAGAGGGTGGGAGGGGAATCAAAATGCTACTAGTGTTAGCCAGTTAATTTTCCCTTTCTTTGCAGTGGAAGCTGAAAAGAAAATTAAGTCCACTGGTAAATTCAGTTTTTGTCCCTTCAAATATTTTTTCAAAGCCCCTGGAGGATAATAATGCATTTAGTTGTCCAGTTTCTGAAGTGCAGAAATACACTCAGCTTTAGAATGCTGGTTCCTCTTACCCTTCTGGGCTTGTTCAAATTGTTTGGTCACAGCACTAAGCATATAGCTAATATTTGTGGGCTTCAATTTTAATTCCTCTATTCACTGTGCAGTAACTCACTCTTTTGAATTCTGTTTTTCCATACTTATTCTCAGGTGGAGTTTACCGTTGAACTTTGGGGCAGGGAGCCCAAGCCATTTTATTTGGCCTGATTGAATGTTATCTCATTTGTGGTGTTATAATTAGACTAACACAATCTAACTTAAAAATTATCCAAGACTTTGGGCTTGCTTTGCAGAAATTAAGTCTCAATATTGAAGCAATTGAAAAAATAGTTAAAAAATTTCTTTCTTTTTATATTGTTACTTACTCCCATCCATTCTCCATTTCTATATATTACATTAGCACATAAGGGCCTGCGTTCTCCTAATTTGAAAGACACTTTGCTAGAGTCTGCTCATGGTTCTCTTAAGATCTGTAATCAATTGGAAGACCTGTAGTATTCAGGTCGCGCATGTAATAGTATTGTAAGATTTACAATGTAAAGCCAAAAGTTTGGGTTGTTTTTTTTTCAAGCTGAAAATCTCTACAAAGCATTAGTCAGTAGGTAGCATTCAGTTAGCCAGTTAATTTTCCTCCTCTTTAGAGTGGAAGCTGAAATTAAATTTTCTTAGATGTTCTTAAATCTGATCTCATTTCTTACTGCCTACAGAGGATTAATTCCAGTTTTAACAATTTTATCATTTAAGTCCATTATTAAATTCAATTTCTGTCTATTCTGCATGTTTACAAAACATTACTAAGTAACACAAAGGGGTTGAAACCTGTGAACAGTTAGCCCAGTGGTAACTGCTGTGGACTGAAAGCATGCATATGTCATCAAAGACAAGTTAGATCAGCCCTGTTTCAAAGCATTGTTGCTTCAATTTGCCACACTCAGGTGGTGACTAATATTTCTTTGGTTATCTGAACCTAAATCTACCATCAGGAAGGATATTAAAAGGTAAAGCTACTGTTAGGCATAAAATTAGAGAATGCAGATCTTCTATCGCAATATACTGTCATTGGAACCTTTCGCATTCCTGAAAACCAGTCAGTTTCTTCAGTTTTTTCTATGCTTGCTGACATGACAAATGGAAGTCGTTGCGCTGTTTCCCCTGCCATCACATTGTTTTCATTTTGGCTTCATAATGCAGAAGAGTTTTCAGAGGCACAGTGAGCACAGAAAAGACCCATTTTTATTTATCTCTTCATATTTCATTATGATACAATAGATGAAAACGATTTATTTCCAATAATAATTTTTCAGTGAGAATAAGACAAGACAAAGCTTCAAGATTTTAAAGTGAATTGGGTTCATACATAGACACTTTTGAAAAACTCAGCAAAGTTTCCATAGTTATTCTGTGCTTTTTAGGGACATGAGTATATGGTTTCAGTCTACAGTTCAGAGATTTTTTTTAACAGTTTCACCATCATACTCTTGCAGTGAAAATTCTGCGAAGTTTTATGTTTGAACTAAAACAGATGGAAGCCATAGATAGTGATGAATTCAAAGGAAATTCATTTTTTTGTTCAAGTGCCAGAGAACAATGCACATGCCAACTGAATTTAAATAGAGTAATTGTGTGCTGTTATTTAAATTGGTTACAATATTTTTTTTCTCTTTGGAAGTTATTAATTTCAGTCGAAACAGCTACAATATTAACAGTAAGACACGAGAAAGGTTCCTTACTGACTGAAAATGGGAAGAAGAGATCACATCCTAGAATAGCCTTTTAGTTCCCCTCTACCCCTCTTCTGTTTAGTCACCATTAGTTGACATTTCTGTTATTTCCTAGCAACTTCAACTTTTTTTTTTCCTGCAAACCATGAAACACTAATTTTGTTATTTCAGTCTCTGTGGCTTTTCTTTTCACCACAGAAAATCTGACATTTACTTAAGAATCCATCATGTTTGCTTGCAGAATGCACAGGATTAAGAATATTATTGTTATTTATTTGTTGTTCTTATTAATATATAATGTACTTTGTTGTAACTAAAGACTATTTTGTAACTAGAGAATATTTTTATGACAAGTTTTTAAGTAAATCTAAGCACACTAAAACAATGCATCTCTTATATCTGACCACAGCAGTAAAATGAAAGTCCCTGGAATTTTAAGCACGTGTTTCAGATTTAGCTGCTTACAATACCTGGAGTATGACTAAGCATCTTGTCTCAGATTTTTCACAATGCAGAACAGACACTGTGTGTACCAGCTCACAGCTTTAAGTTTTGCAATTCAAGATCCATTTTAGAAGGAAGTCAAATTTCACCACTTTTGCTTTCATGAACTTGAAAAAACTTTATTTCAAATATGATTCACTGAAAGCTAAGTTTATGCCTGCCAAAAAATTGTTTATAGTTGCATAGTTTCAGCTTCACTTAGACAAAGTTTACTCTGTCATTACTTTACGTTACTACAGACATGATCAAAAGAAAGAAGTCATTTTTAGCTTTCACTGAGACATTTTTTTCAAGGTAGGTTAATAAGGAATAGATGCTTGACTTCACTAGTCATTGCAGCAGAAATACTGATCATATTAAAACTAATCTTTCCCATGCAGCTTGGTTGAAATGCATTTCATAATAAGACATTAAGTAATGTTTAAGATTACCCCATCCAATCAATGGAATATAAACTGAAGTTAAAATTAATAAAACTTAAATTAATTCATTTTTACATCATTGTTCTTAAATACCCTTTTTATTCTTCTAATAGCCCTTAAAACTATTTTGGGAGAAGAATTACAATATTGGTAGACTGAAATACACGAGTATTGGTCGTATAACTCTTTTCCAGACATACCTATTGTGTACTTGCATTTTTTTTTTCCCTTCTCCTCCCCCAAATACCAATGCTTCTTGATGTCAAGATGTAGAAAACTTAGATTCTAGACATTTCAGAAACAGGAAAGCCAATACATTTGGGCTAAAACAGATTATGGAAAAAACTTAGAAGAAATGGTTATATTTTGCATGGAATATGTATTGGAACTGAGGAGCAGGTGATTTAACGGCATTTATTATCTACTGTTTTAAACATCTTTCTAGTAAAGACTATGGTATTTTCCATGTAATTTAAGGGCTTGTCTTTTGTAAGGCAAGAGTACTGATACTGTACTCAATTTACAATTAATTTCTGTTTCCTGACCAACTCTCTTATAGCTGTGCAAGCTAGATGTAAGATAGTACTGAACTTGAATTAGCCATAGCTATATTAGCAGGAGTAACAAGAAGAAATATTAACTTTATGTTGAATTTTTCTTCTGTTTCTTTGTGAGGGGCAAAACAAATTTTTTAGGAAAGTTACGCAAATATGGTTTTTGTATAACTAGTAATAATAAAAGTAAACACTATTATTTGGCTTATCTGTGGGGAAAAATAACTTGATGCACTTAGAGAAGTCTGTCTTGCTTTTTCTTGGTTTTATTTTCCCTTTAAATTGGTTTAGTTGAGCTTTTCAGCTGTTAGACATCTTTCTTCTAAAAGCAACCTGCTGGCGCATGCTCAGTGAAGTAAAAAGAAAAGCATTGGTGACTCAGCAACACAGTAGAGAACATTTTCTTTCTTTGCATATGGTAAATTTTGTTTTCAAAGAAAGAAATTTGTTTTTTTTCTCTAACTTTTGTTTTCAAAGAAAGAAATTTGTTTTATGTTTTGTGTTATGAAACTCTAAGGTTTAAAGTTATGCAATTGCTTCCTAGAGTAATTCAAATTGCACTCAGAAGAGAGTTTCTGAGGCTGAACAAAAAAATATGAAAGGAAGAACTTTGCTCTTAGTCATATAAAAGGCTTTGAAATTGTACATACAGATTGTTTCCTCTTTCTGTCATAGAAACTTTGTATGAGAAAAGAATGTATTTAAGACTGATAGACTGATTTGCCTAAATAGATCAACTGTCAGAGACAACACATTTGGCCTCATTATGACTTACATAATTCTTACACAAGCACTTGAAAGTGTAGTATCTAGGCTTTCTGTAACTAGGTGTTGTCCAAACATGGTTTTGTGCTGTTGTCTTAACTACGCTGATTCAAAAACTGAGCTTTCTGAAACTGCTGCAATCCTCAGCCGTTCACTGGTCTGTTAAAGTAGTTTGGGAGAAACTTAACTTGGAAGCTTTTTCTCTTCTAGTCAGGAGATCTCTCGAAAAAAGGAAGATGGGAAAGGAATTTGTGATTCTCAGTCTCTTCAACCATTTAAGACTTTAAAAAAAAAGGGGAGGGAAGGAGACATGAAATATCAAACTTGTGAAACTGTGAGTCAGCAATGTTTAAAGCGGTTGTTATACTTAAATCTATCCCAAATGTTTTAATATATGGGGATTCCTCCAACAGTTTAGTTAAATAGGAATAGAAAGTATGCATTTCCAAAAGTAGATATGAATTTGCCTTAAAATGAAAAATGAGTAAGCACAACTACATGTGTATGCTCAGAAGACGCTTACAAAAAAATTTAAATTTCCATTGCCCATATTAGTAACGTGAGATTACAGAAATGTAGCTAAAACTAAGTTTGTTACTCTTTCCTCATGGTTTGGATTAGCAAGACTTTTAACTGGATTTAGTGGATAAACTGGCTCACCAAAATTTATTTGCAAGCTTTTTATTTTTTTCTGTCCTTACAGAAGAATACATTGTGAGAAATACATACCAGAGAGTTCTGTTAACATTAATGACATTTAGATATGGAAGAGGGGGCTAAATTTAATAGACCTCTAGTTGCAGAAGACATGTCAAACATACCTGCTTCTCCTTAGCAATACTATTTTTAATTTAGCCATGATACAGGAAAATTATTAATCAGTGGTAACGTGATGAAGTTGCAAGTTAGGTTTGCACAGAGAAAATTTCTAGGACATGATACTTTATGATACAGTACTGTAGTATTAGGCATTGTATTTGTTCCAGATAGCAGCACTAATACTAATTTTGGATGCTGTAGAGCTAAATTCTGTAGACAGTCAGTGAAGTGATTACTTTTCATTTCTTAGGAATGGAATATGTCTATTATTTAAATATTAGATATTCTCTAACTAATTTGTGGTTGATTTTAAACTAGTAAAGCATCTTTATATATATTACTAAAATTTCGGTTTTAAGCAGGTGGCAGCAACTGGAATTGCTAGATTATTGAATGGTTTATACGATTCTAGATTACTGATATTGAAGTAGGATGGGATTAGATAGGATTTGTGGTGAGGGCAGTTCTTAAAATGGTACTTTTTTTTTTTTTAAACACATCGAACAACATGCAGTGAACACAGCTGACTAGAAAGATATGTGATAGAAGCAAAGTAAATCGTAAGATGGTGCTCCGATCTTCTGTATTTTATACACTGATATTTTAAGTGAGGTTTAATATTGTGTATGTCCATTTAACTAGAATAATCTGTTCAAAATAGTGTAATCTGAGCTCTGTACAAGACTGGTCTTGCACCCAGTTCCATGCATGAAGTGTTCTGAATTCATTTAGATCATTAAATTCAGGTGGACACCCTAGAAACACTGCATTTTGCTTCAACAGATTAATCTGAGGGATAAGAACCTAAGTTAACGTATCAATTAGCAGTGATTGTATTTTGAAAAAGTAAGCAAACCTTCTATGTTAAAAATGTTTTTAAGGTTGTAAGTTCAAGTACTAGACAAGGTAGTAAACACAAGTATTAAGTTCACCAAAATGCAGTAATACAAAGTATGTTTTCATTGAAATAACCATGTAAATAAGACTTAAAAGAAGTATCAGTACAGCTGTACATGTACTGAATACTCTGTTACTCATTTTCCTTTCTAACCCTCAAATCATTCATTATCTGTACTACCAACTTCATCTCCGTAACACAGCAAGATTGGGTTTCTTTGTGTTTGTGTGATTCATAGGTTTTACGCTGCAGTAGTGGGCCCGGCTCCCTAGTGCACTCTCTCCCCGCTACTTAATGAGGAGTGCTTTATTATTTCAACTTTTTCAGTTCAGGACCTACGTTTCAGATGCAGCTTATTTGTGAAGCTATAGGGGAAAAAGTAAAAGAATGCAAAACCAGAGTTGTAAACCCAGCATTTACTATCTTCTAAAACAGTTTTCCTCTCCAGGTGTTGACACTGGCGGGCTTCTCTCTCCTGCTAGGCCTTAAATCTGACCTCTTTTTCTGTAGTAATCACAGAGAAAAATGTATCTCTTGTCTCCCTTGCTGAATAGGAAAAGAAGATAAATTTATACAGGCAGGGAGAAAGATACCACAGTTTTGAGGAGGTTCAAGATGAGATAATAATTTCTCACAATTTCTGTTGTTATTCTAGATAGATAAAGCATTGTGATTTGCAAGAAACAGCTCATATTGTTGCAAGTGTTTCTGTAGCACCTTATATAAACATGATGGTGACAATAAATAATCTTGTAAAATCCTTGCTGTTAGGCAAATTAGTATTACCTTTATAGACCAAAGAACTAAGAAGTAAAGCAAAGTGACTTGTTATATGCTATGCTGAGCAAACCAGTGGCAGCTCCCAGATTGCAATTTAAGGGCAGAATATTTATAGTTCCAAGAAACATTCAGTATAGCTGTAAATGTTCAGCATGACAGAAAAAATGGCTTGTATGTTAAAACTGGACATCTTGAAGATGAGGAACATGAAGACAGAGGCTCCTACAAAGATTTTTGTTTAGTATCTCGCCTAAGCCTGCTCAAAAATTCTGTAGAATTTAGAGAAGACAGCAGAGTCCTTTTGGGTGGCATTCATCTGCCCTTTTCCAGGAGGCTGCCCTTGCCCTTCACCGCTTTTTCTACACTTTTAAATTCCAAAGCAAATAGTTCCTACCTAATCTGCAGGTGTTCTGATACCATCTATTCTTATAATAATGAAATCTGTGGGAAGAGAAATAGTATGTGGCTGTATAAAAATCTTTTTGCCACAATGCCTGTAAATAATAAGGCTGAATAAAATATCCTAAATGACCTTAATCTTGCTATTTTGAAGTTTTGAGTGTAAGAGTTCAAAATGTATATTTTTTCTATATTTTTTGGTAGAAAATTATCATGTTGGTTTTCTAAAGGAGAAGAACAAAACTTAAACCC